TTTACCCCTTATATTCCAAGCAGAGTTTGAGGACCCCAAAGTCTGCTCTCCTCAAGTCCAGGGTGGACTCACACCCTTTCCCATCACCAGCAGGTTTTGTTACTGTTTTGCAGACAAGAACGAAGTAAGAAATGCGGCATAAATGAAATATGTTCATCAGATGTTGTTTCCCATTTTACTAAAGGATACGGAAATCTGCTTCTGACTAGCTGCGCTGTTTTGTAATGCTCTGTTCACATCCTTAAAGTTGTGAGCAACAAAAAGCACTTTTCTAAAGATTAGAGGCATGCGTTACTCTGACTGGAAAGGCTAGTCCTGAAAAGATATTGCTGGGTGACTCATAAGTCATGTTTTGTAGGACACGAGAAGAAGACATTAAAAGTGAAGGCCTCTTAGTTCAACTAAGTGTAGCCATTTCTCACGTATTATATAGGATTTGTCAGACTGAAACACAGAATTGGTCCAACGATCATATATAAAATACTATGTAATACATGAGAAATAAATTTTTGTGAGAAGTCAGATCTGTCAAAGCTGTTACAGCTTGTTATATCAACGACAGTTTATGGCTTAAGAATGGCAGAGAGGCATCCTTGAAAAGGTAAGAAAAGCACCTTGGGACTCTAGCACAGCACAGACATAGCTCTTCCTTTTTCAGCCACACTCCTCAGCCCCTCCCCCTCCCATCCCACTCCCATATTGCAGGGCAGAACAGAGGATGGGAATATCCCTGCAGTGGTGCAGCCACATGCCTCTCCCAAAACAGGTGACAAATGTTGAAACAGGAACAATAGGCCATTTTTGACAGTTTGCTGCCAGACAAACTACCTAATGAGTTACTGAAGTTGTGACCTAATTAACCACATCTTTTCCACCTTGCTTCCCTCCTATACAATAGGAAACTGGGGATGGAAAGGTCATATCTCAACAATTGCCTTCGATGCACTCCAGCCAGCCATACGGCTCCTGGCTGCCGGCAGTGCAGCACACAGCCAGGAAGGGAGCTGGAGTGGCAGCAGGCCAGATGCATTGCCTGACAGGAGACACTAGGCTTCCCAAGAGTGAAGCAAGACAGATTCACCTTTCCAAATTTATTCTTCAGCCATCTCTCATTTTCAAAAGTCAACTACAGCAATATTCCTCATACACAGGCAAATGCTTTACTTTGGTCTGCAGCTCTCTACTTTGAAATATTGGCCGTTTGTTCATCCCAGTGTGTAATTCTGCTCTGGGTCTGTAGTGTAAGACTGCCTTATCATCACTGTGGAATGTAACTGTCTTTGGGGACACACAGTTCACCTGGGGTAATATTTACTGAGCTTGTCACCTCTGACCCAACAGCAAAGGACTACTTAATTCAATTCTGATTGCCTTGGCCCTACTCAAGCAGCCATGATTCTCTCCTATTCACCATCGCCTTCTCACTTTTTCTTTTTCTAATGATCTAGCAAACAAAACAGGACACAGTGTCTCCAAAAGAACTAGAATCCTTGAGCCTAATGCATTTTCTTCTCCTTATTTGTTTTACAGTATGAAAAATGGACAAATTTCAGCACAGAAGAGAAAGGTTTAACAAAATGCGCAGGCTTATTTTTTTCAAAGTGATTGGGCTGAGTGATAAGCTATATGCATTCAGACATGGAGGATCTGCTTAGACATATATTAATGTGCATTTGCCTAAGTTGCATACAAGCAATCAATCAAGCACACCAGATTAGATACTGCAATTAATTTCAGAAAACATAAGTATTCAGGGAATTCTCTCTTCCTCGTCTATCCTCTCCTTTTCCCCTTAAAAGCACTGTATTAGTTACATCCTGTGATTTATGTTTACACAGAACATACAAATGACCCCACCTAAAAATGACAGTAATTTGCAAGGCTAATATCTTTGGCTAAGATACAAGAAATATCTACTATTCTGAGTTCTGATCATTTTCCATCACCCAGCAGCCTAGCAACACGCCATCCAGCTGGTGTTCATCAGCGTGCTTGACTGACTGACATCCCACCCCTCCAAGATGCACACTTGTTTTTATGTTTCTCAATTTGTTGCACTGAGTGATAGCATTTAGTAGAAAATACAGTTTAAATCAGCTTCCACTGAAATATTATCTATGTTTTCAATACATTATATTTTCTTTTTAAAGCACACAATCTAGTTTAATGTAAGTTTCCATAATAATTTCATCACTTATAACTTATTTATATGATATCAGGATGGTAAACATTGTCAGCATGTACCTTCCGAGGGCCTGTGTTCTTCAGCTCAAAGACATCCATGGTGTAGTTGACTCTGCGACCATAGTGGTCAAACTGAACATTTCCTGTCAATCCTTGTATTCGAACCTACAAATGGAAGAAAAAGCCATCATGAAGATCCAGTCTTACAATATGTATTCCAAATATCACAGAGCAGTGAAAGTTATCCTGGCTATGTCCTTAGATTGCCATAACAACACTGTTCTAGAATAGACAGGTGTTATAAAGCAAAAATGTTGGCTACTTTTCCTTTGTATTCATTTTTCCTGTCAAACCATGCTGAAAATAGGCTTAGATATGACAGTATCTAACTGCTAGCAAAGATACACAATGGACCTTCTTTCAAGCTGTGCAGCTCAACACTTCCTAGCTGCAGGTTCGAAAGAGAAGTACATTTTTTACCATTCTCATCACTGCTGCAGAATATTTTGGAACACACAAAAAAAAACATAAAAGAAGTTTGGCCTGACCTCATATATCTTTTTTTGTCTCACACTCTGATGGTTTAAATGTAAAGATTAAGTATATATTGCTCATCAAGGTAAACCAGACAACAACCTTGGCCCCAGCAAAGCAATTTCCTACTAACACAGAAGATGGGTGACATGCATCGGGCCTGAAAAGAGTGTTTGCAGAGCCTCAGAGTCGAGAAAGACAGATGTAAACCCGTAAGATTGGCTGTGGCAGTTTTCTACCACCTGTGTCTCAGCTCAAACCAGAAATCCTTGTTTTCCTTTTAGTGCTTTACTGTCTCACCGAAGGATACCCCAGACAGTCATCCTCATCCCAAAGAAGCCCTGGCCATAGTGCTGCTGGTTTTGATTGTATTAGAATCCGGCCATGACAATCTCTTCAGCCAGATTCAAAAGTTTGTGTTACCCACCCTTACACAGGAGCTTGACTTCATGCTTCTCACAATTGTTACATATCTGTGCATTTGCACGGAGTATGCAAAGCATATAAAATGCTTTATTTCTATCCCTAGGAGTCAGGATGTGGATTTAAACCACTTACTACTTCCCTCTGTCCATTTCTTTCTCTGCCAATTTTTCTCCAGAACTGAAACCTTGGCTTCCAGGCAAAAAGCTGCCAGCTCTGTCAGCAGTCACTTCTCCTCAGCAGTTTCTCCTGAGTGGAGCCTGCTCATTTGCAATGATTTAAATTCTACTGCAGGATTTTTATTTTCTTACTGTTCCATTCAAAGGAAAGGCTAAATCGTCTTGACAGAGATCTGGAACTTTCTAGGCATCCATATTCATCGGGAATTCAAAATCCTGACATCAGAGAACAATAGCTCTGGGTTATTTCTTTTTAAAGAAAAAAATACTACCTATGTGATTTCCTTGGGAGAAATCTACTTATATTTAAGATGACAGAAACATATTTGAGAGGTTGTATTATGTGGCAATACTTTTTCCCTTAAATGACAATATCTGTACACCCAGGCTATATGCAAAGCAACAGATGTGCACACCAGTTAAGCGGAGGAAGTCCCAACTATCTTAATAGAACTAACAGTAGTTTCCAATAGTAGCAGTTCCCCTCTGCCTTCATTCCAAGTTATTAACCAGAACAGCCCAGCTATCTCCAACTGGCAAGTGAAAAATACATTCCTTCTCTCCCCTTATTACTTTTGTGTATAATACCTTCCAAATCATAAAGTGTACAACTAGTATCCAATATTCACAAAGATCACTAGAATAAAGCCTACCCTTACCTGTTTTAATGTCCTCTCCATATCAATTCCTTGACCCCATGGGGCTGCAGGGTTAGCAAGACAATCACCAGCATTTCCTCTCCTTGAAATATCAATTTTCTGTCTTCTAAGGTTACGGAAAGTTTCAGCAATCACAAGTACTCCATCATACGTTAATGCAGATGTATACTAAATAGATGGACAAACACACTGCTTTAGAGTTGGCATATCTTTACAAAAATCAGATGTCTCAGACATTTCTAGTTTGATTCATTATGTAGCAGCTTCTACACCTTCATTTAGAAAAAAGCTCTCCTCAAAATCAAAATCAGTTTTGTCTAAGGAATAAATGCAGGTCTAAGAAGAGCACATTTCAGTAGCTCCAGCTTTAAAACTGTATTTTTTAAGGGTAGAGAAATCTGCCTCTGAATAATTGTTAAAAGGAACAAATTAAACTGGAGCTATTTGGGTATTTTTCTTTTTTTTTTTTTTTTCCCCCCACTTGTCTTATATGTTAGAGAATAACCCCACCCACCCAACTTACTCAAAAAGAAAGAGTAACTCACTGAGAAAACATAACTGGAAAAATGCGTGGCTAATGAGCAGACATCCAGGGTATTGGAATTGTTAACAAGGATCAAGGGTATGCTCTTCCTATTGGAAAAGCTGTGTTGGCTCTCTGAATGACACAGGACATGGGCCGGTCTGTGTTTTTACACTAACTACAGCAAGTGCTTTAGGGTTAGAACAAGCTACATGAAACATGTAGAGCAAGTCTTCAACAGATGTTAGCCGTGAGCCACATAAACAAATGGGCATTTTCTCAGCATGGTCTGCTGATGGACACATTGCAACAGGAGAATTTGTTCACATGCCCAGGGCTGCTATTGATATGCCCTGTAACTTCCAAAATTTAAATTCACTTACTCAGGTCTGATTTCCTTCCTTTCTGCATATTATAAACTCTTCGGGTAATAGTTTATAATCTCAAATTTTGGTTACCCATAGGTGAATATCCATAGGCAGCAAAATACAGTTCATGTGGAAAGGAGTCCTACAGACTAAATGATCTTGTCGCCAGTACTTCGGGATGTCTGCACACCATAGGCTACAGCATCCTTGTTGCTTTTTTTTTTTTTTTCCTCCCAGGACATAAATTTCTTGAATATTCATTGAATTATGTAGCTATGCTTTATATTATCCATGTTGATAGTTTCTCTAGACTTTGCCAACCTACCACTATCCCAGCCAAGGGAGAACTGATGGCTTATAATTGCGCAGTGCCCAGCACAAAGGAGCCCAGTCTCAAGTAGGTCTAATATGCATTTGTATATATAAGAACAGAACTATTTTGATGAAGTCGTATTTATAGCTATGCTGTGATTTGCCTACCAAGAAAATTATATGTGAGAAAAATATTTTGTTATCCATCTGTGAGGGGTTAGGGCAGAGGAAAACTGGATGTAATTTCACTGTAATAATGTGCCTGAAAGTGATTACTACACCAGGTTTTGAAGTGTGTAGAATTTCCAGAGGAAACTCCAAATGAAAATTTAAGGGTAGTATATTTACAATTGTGGTCTCATACAGAAGAATTCAGCTGTTGGGAAAGCTCTGCACTCTAAGTGAATCTAGATAATTAGACTAATTCATGTAAAATTGGTTGAAATTAAGTTGCCAGTTAAGCATTTGACCTTTAATTCCTGTCAGTAAAGGGCTGAAGTTGCAGAATAAGCGACAAAGGACATTAACGCACATCAGTGAAAAGTGTTGCAGTTTGTGTTTCTATCATGCAATCATAAGGACAGACATAATCAGTTGCCAGTAATAGTAAGATAAACTGCCTTCTCCTCTGTCTAAATATTAAGGTCTTCGTTCATATATTCACAGTGTTAATCAGAAATTAGAACACTTGAGTGGTATCTTCATTAGTGCTTCAGATCAGCCAGTACCTTTGGTGGGGTCTCGGATCCTGGGTATTCTCTCTGGTCCAGCTTCTTCCAGCGCTGCATCAGCTTAGTTACCATGGGGGTGCTGAAATCTACTAGCTGAAATCCAGTCACATTGGCTCCTCCGTGCATAAATCTCTCCAGAGAAATATCTTTGAATCCCTAGAAGATCAATATAAGATTTTTTTGTCCTCGAACTCCACTGTAGGTCCAATCTATTCTAGGTCAGCAAGGCAGCATAAGGAATGTACAGCAGCAGGTTTCCATTAGAAGCCAGGACTTACAACCAGGGAATAATGCTGAACCCTTGTTCATGATTTCCATTTGTGTAATAAAGAATGAAACAAAACCAAGAAATAAATTTCCCACATTATTGCTAGGGTGGTCTTGACAGCTAAGAAACACATTGCTGGGAATGGCAGACAGTTTTTGAAGAAAAGCCTTTGGTGAATCAACTGAAAAGTACCCACAGAATATTAAAGCCTTAATCCAATTTCTATCAAAGTTGGCAGAATTGAATGAGCACTGTGCTAGTTCTTTGGCTGATATATCCCTGTTTCTTCGTGTGTTTGCAAAAAAGAACAACACTACTGTGTAAATACATTTATTCCAGGATTCATTGTTTAGGCCAGAGGTGTCTGAGATGAGAGAATATGGTAGACATTAATTAGAAGGCAGAGACAGCACAGGAGGATCTCACTGTTTGGGCAAGAAAAATATAATATCAGAATCACGCTTTTGTGAAATACGATGGTGGTAGCTCTCAGGTCTGCTATACATTTAAAGCCTAGAGTGGAGCCCAACATTGAAAGAAAAAATAAAGTGCATGCAAATACTTTCTGACTTCTTAGTTTCTCAGGCTAATCTGTTCAGCACATATAAAGAGAAATTATTTAGTAAAACTTGCCTTTAGAGACATAACTATCCTTCAAGAAACTGCATAATGCAAACTGCTAAAGCAAGCTAAGAAGCAAGCATGAATCTTTCTGCTCCTTTCCTAGCTACTATGCTTAATGCTAGCTCAGAGGTACCTTATTTTTATTTTCTTAGATTCATCTGATTGGCATTTATCTGTGCAAACAGAGATGTATTACTACACTTAACTTAAAATGAAAGATTTAGGAGGAAAAAAGAGTAGGTACGGACCCAATACCTCAAAAAACCTTTTGACAGAGATTTCATTCAGGTTTTAGATATTGACAGTAAATATAAAAGGTGATGCGTCAAGAAGTCATATTACCCACATTTTTGAACAACGTGTGCCCCTGCTGAAGCAGATGGGGAGATCATAGAATCACAGAATGGTTTGGGTTTGGAAGGGACCTTAAAGACCATCTAGCTCCAACCCCCCTGCCATGGGCAGGGACACCTTCCACTAGACCAGGTTGCTCAAAGCCTCATCCAGCCTGGCCTTGAACACTTCCAGGGATGGGGCATCCACAGCTTCTCTGGGTAGGTAACCTGTTCCAGTGCCTCACCACCCTCTCCGGGAAGAATTCTTTGCTGATATCCAACCTAAATCTACCCGCTTTCAATTTAAAGCCATTGCTCCTTGTCCTGTCACTAGAGGCCCTTGTAGAAAGTCCCCTTCCAGATGTACCGGTCTCCACTGTATATCCCACTAGCAGTTCACTGCAACACCTTGTCCCTTGTTTACGACAACTATTTTGCATGGGTAAAGGTACTTGGAGAACTATAAATTCATAATGCTGAAAATCTAATTTGTAAGAACTACGGGAATAGACATGTCTCATTTAAAACAACTGAGGGCTTAAAAATAATCTGAAGTGATCTCAAGGCACAAATACAGTGAAGCACAATAAAATATTTCATGTCAACTAAAATTCCCTGAAGGAGAGTAAAAAGACAACAATTTAAAGCATACATTAGACTTTGTCCTACACTCACTGTGTTTGGCCAGGCAGGTATTTCAATTTAAAGAATGGGTTATTTTAATAATAAGATATTGCATTTACTCTTTCTTTGCTCTCTCCTGAACATTATCTGTGTGAATGAGCAGCTTAGAGTTAGAGTGAAAATACGGAACTAGTAATTTGGCTGGAAATAGCTGATCTTGCAGCAAGATGAATGTTCCTTGGAGAATGTAGAAAAGTTACTTTGAGAATTGTTATGTTAGCAATATTAAAAAGATGAGTCAAAAATCATAGTGTAGTTCTGTAAATTCTAATTTGGCCACAAGATACACTTAGCAGTCCTTCATGCTACATTGATTTTGATACAATTTACGAGGGTAACATTGTGCCCTTCTTGTCTAGATGGCTGTAACAACAAACCCAAGTTCTTTTACGCACCATAAAGAATGTATTATGCGCAACCCCGTATTAGTGACAAATGGCAAATGCTGTGTGAAGTGCTATAACTTCGAAGCAAAACTGAGTGTTTCACTTACCGAGCAGGGGTATAATTCTAGAAAAGTATCTTACCAGGTTGGCAACAATATAATGGTATCCTTTAACATGCTTTCCCACACTCACAATCTGTGGGAGACAAATAAGAGAGAGAGAGAGAGAGAGAGAGAAAGGTGTTTTCATAGACAAATAGGTATAAATTCAGAAATAGATAACATCAGCAATATAATGTTGAAAGTCTTCCTCCAGTAAGACAGCTATAAATTTCCAGGTACTTAATCATGGGAAGAACTTAAAATGAAAGTGAGTAATGACCTGCTAATCTGGGTATCTTTCATATGACTGAAAACATTACTCTAGTATACTCTTTTATCAAATAGACTAATTATGTATGGGATACAAATTCAGAAGGTGGAGGTCACACATAAGCTAGAAAGCCTACCCACTGATATACCTTTTCATTTTAAGTAAGTGCAGAATTTATGAACCAAACTGGGTTTTCATCTCTTGGGACCAAAGCTGTTTCCCTTGTGTTGGTCAAGTACCATGTGTGTTATTCAGCTCTTAGTAATATGCTAAAGACTGTGGGAATGGGCATGAGTGAGGATGGAGCAAGAACGGACAGTGCGGCTGCCCTTGAGTGTTTAACCAAAATATAACATCAAGTGATGCAGAAAGGGAACAACCGTGATGGGCAGCTGCTACAGTCCTGATATGGCATGATCAACAACACAGTTTACACAAAAACTATGTCAACCCACACCTCTTATCAATATTATTGCCATTCTTATGACAATTCTTATGTAATTTGCTGACGACAGAAAATAAGGAGAGAATATTTTGTCAGTAGAAAATAGTGTTAGTAGTTTCATTACAGATTAAAGATGTTTTTACTGAAGAAACAAACAGTAATACCTGAAATATGCCACTTGCATTTAATACCAGTAAAGAGTTTTTTTAACTCTTATTTTGGATAGTTTATCACTTATTTATAAAGACTCTGCTTGCAGCCTAAGTATGTTGAGGTTTTTTCTCCTCATGTACTCATCTCCACAATTCATTTTTTGAGCAACCTGGTCTAGTTGAAGGTGTTCCTGCCCATGGCTGGGGGCTGGGAACTAGATGATCTTTAATGTCCCTTCCAACCCAAACCATTCTATGATTCTATGATTTTAGCTTCCTTCCAAGTGAATAAATAAGATAGGGGCAAAAGTTTTTCATGCAGTGTAGATTATTCAATAAGTAATGGGAAACTTATAGATCTGTCTCCTTTCCTGCTTTGAAATACAGCTTTGGGCCTTGCCCTGAAGAGTTGGCAACTTCTTAGCTTCATGGATCCCACCTCCTGTTCAAAAAGCAGAACAAACATTCACTAAGCCTTGCAGTCCCCTTTCCCAGAGCAGAAAAAAAAATATTATCACCCCATTTTGGAGATGAGAGACAAGTTACTGAAGGACTAAATAACTTGGTCAAAGACACTCAAAGATCCAAGATCTAAATCTGGATTAAGACTTGGAAATTCTTCGTTTCTGACTCTGTTGTTCCAGTAAGTCAATTGCTTCCACAGGGGAGTGGAAGGGAAAATCCCAAGGATGTGGCATAAGAATCTTGTCAGAACTGGTTTAATTTAATTATTTTAAGTTAATAAAGTGAATAATCAATTTGTCTGTTATCCTTTTGTTCTTCTTTCCCAACCTCTATTTTGTATTTATAGTCTGTAGCTAAAATGATTGTATTAAAATACCAAGATATAAGCTAAAAAAAAAAAAAACCACCACAAAATTACACCGCTCCTCTGCCCATGCCATGACCAGATTGCCACCCTTCATAGAAATTAATTGCTTAATTTGGACTCAGTCAAACTACCATTAAGATCAGTGATTCAATACCACTGCTACCATATTACTAGGGGGCAGTGGAGGGAGAAACTACACTTTATCACCAACTCAACATATGTGAGGAGGGGATTGTCAAGACACTTTTTGTCCCTGAATACAAAGGTTTATAAGCCATGGTGGCTCAATGGCTTCAACAGGGAAGTCGTTCCTGACACCAATAATGCTTTTATGTGTGTCGTCCTTTGAGATGTGCAGGTCAAGATAACCAGATCCTCAGCTTGGGCAAATCACTGCAGCTCGCTTTGAGCTAGATCTAGGAAGCTGACGTAGCTTTGGCAATTAACACCCTTAGTGATCTGTTCCCTGGTTTAGTCTTGTAACATAAATTGTGACAACTGCTTCATCATATCAGTCAAATAAAACACGCACGTGATCAACCTGCAACTGATGAGCTATGTTAGATACATGTCCATAGCTGGCACAGTCAAAATGACTACATAGTGCAAACCATTAACCAGATTTGCTTATGTGCTTGCGCCTAGCAAATGCATGTCGAAATGGTTGCAGAATTCCTGGATTTAATGTGAACAATGCAGAATAATTTAAAAAAAAAAAATTGACTATTTCAGAGTACTATCACTGAGTGATAAAGGTACGCATTTATGTATGATTTAGATGTCTTAACTTCCTTTATCGTCAGTGGAAAGAGCAGGCATTTTGAAGAAATAATTCATCTTATCCTAAAGCACGTCTAAAATAAATTAGACAGCTTGTGCCCTGAAAGTGCATATTTTTCTGCACTGACTAGAAAAAGAGTTGATGATGATTAGCTCTGATGTAGACACCTACAATTTATATCCCTGATATTAACCGAGACGAATTTCACCCTAAGAATCTTGATCATGGAGACAGAAAAGAGAAATGATGCTATACGGCTTAAATTTCCAACCAAGATTTCTTACAATTCTGATTTTGAATTTGAAAATGTTTATGCTTATTGATCACACAACGTTTGCAAACTGAGAATTGCTTATGATTTAGGAAAAAAAAGTGCGTGCTCCCAGCTTTCTGTGAGCACTTCATAATTTTGAATATCCAAAATATACATAGAGTCACATTTCTCTCTCAAATACTACCATCTACAGATTATGATCTATAAAATAGGATAGGAATTCTCTCTATCTGAAGAACCACATTTCGCTATACTGTACTTCTGCACTGAGATAAATTGAGGCAATGAATTCAAGCCTTTCATAAAAGAGGTGGAGTTTCTGACAGCTACTCAGTCTGGAATGTAAGCTCTAACATTTTTCTTCTATTCTTTAATTGGTTAGCAGTGACTAGAGCTGTAAGAGAGATAAGATGAGACCTCAGCCATTCCATACATGTAACAGTAGATCTTGCCCTGAAACACAAACTAAACAGATGAGTGCGGGTGACTGAGGGAAGAATATTATTCTTCTATGGCAGCATGGGGGGGGTGGGGGGGGTGAGGTGCAGTGGGAGAAAGAACCAGCAAATCTATTCTGAAAGGGAAAAACAAGACTGAAATTTTGACAGGCTGAAATTTTGAGAGACAGTTCCTAAAAGCCTTTGCCACAGAAGTTCTCTAAATCTGGGGCATCTTAAAAACCCAGCTGCTTCCTCATGCACCCCTCAATTCAGACTGAATGGCCAAGTTCAGTCACAGTCCAGAGAGAGGGCAGAGCTGCATCACCTGTACATTAGCAATCAGTGAAGTCCACAGGGTAGGATTTGTACAGCAAAAGTGTTGGTGCCAAACAGCTGGCATCCACAGTATGCACATCTCAGGGTTTTACTCTGGACTATTTCTAACCTGGTCACTCGACTGAACTCACTGTGGGTGCCAGCACACTTCAGAGGTGCTTTTGGACACATCTTGTTTGGCATCATCAAAAAGGAAACCAGTTCACGTGTTTTGAGTGTCCTTGATGTGAAACACAGCACAGTAAATGGCTGCAATCTGGAGATTCACTTCAAAAGGGCATGCTCTTGACACCAACTAAAATGCTCTGAGTGCTGGTGGGTCCCATGCTCTTAGACAGGCACTGAGCATCCGTGGGGCAGGTGACAAATCCATGCATAGCAAGAGGTTGAGCAATGGGAACTGTCTTCTTTTCAAAAGGAAGGCCCTGAAGAGAGGGCAGCGCTGCCACAGGCACGGATGATGATGACGGCTCTGCCCAGGGAGCAGGAGGTGTGGCTTGGCTCTCACCCCGGCCAGTTGCAAAACCTGAGACAGGGCTAGGCATCAAACATGGGTTTCTCAGTCACAGTTGCAGTGATCCACCATGAAACTGCTGATATGGTAGGTCAGGGTCATGGTAGGTCAAGGAGGACCCTCTGCATATGTAACTGTCCTTTTCAGAACAATTTGAATCAAAGCTTCGGGATGCGTTGATTCAAAACTGTCCTAGCGCTGGCAACCTGGGTGAGTTGGATCAGATCAATTCCTCCCTCTCATGTAGTATGTCTTCACTTACACCTTCTAAACATTTATTTTTGCTCCACACTCCCAATCTTGACTTCTTCTTAAACACAACACACAGATGTTACACCTGACTTCTGTTGCAGTGAGAGTTTAATGTAACTTCAGCTTGCTCAGAGAGATTTTGGGAGGAAAGCATGGAGAAGGGTGAAGTGATTTGTGACTTCTTTGGGGAAGGATGAGAGCAGGGAAAAGCAGGATGCTGCAATGGCTTTTGCATATTGATTTGTATGTTTTAATTCAATGACCAAGGTGTCTATCATTTAGAATTAGAGCTCTTTTATGCTCTTATTTGTAAAACTGAATAAATAATTAATGAACACAGTTCTGAAGTAGAATGAATAAGAAAATACAACATGCTTCCCAAATTACCATTTATAGGAAAACCAAGAGCCATTCCATGTATTATCCAGTAGTCACATTATTAGTGAATATTTCATTTCAGTAAACTTAACAGGATAGAATCAAAGCAAGTGAAATGTTAAGGCCATAAGGCTATCAAGGACTTCCATAATCTAATGCAATTTTTTTTTTTTCCCCTAAATATCACTGTGTATGTGAGTGTCTGCTGAAAGGTGAACTTGGGAGTAAAAAAAAAAGAAAATCAGCCTTTGGCTTTATTCACATTATCTTGTGGTTTAACCCCAGTCAGCAACTAAGCACCGCACAGCCATTCACTCACCACACCCCTCACCACCCAGTGAGAATCGGAGAAAAAGGCAGGAAAACTGGGTTTGAGATAAGAACAATTTAATAACTGAAAATAAATAAAATAATGATACTAATAATTCTAATAATACTAATATTACTACTACTAACATATAATGAACATACTC